CAGCTTGGATTGCAGATCGTGATCATTGGAGTTCAAGAAAAAGCAAAAGAGTTTGTGGAATTCATCAAAGGTATCATTCTCATCACAGTTTCTATCTAAACACATTGCAGATCCTCGTTTGGGAATTGAAAATTGTTTAATTTCCGCTGTGCATGATAAGTAAATTCCCAACAGGAAAAATACTGGTAAAGCTTGATCAGCATCTTCGGAGATGTAAAACTACACTTATCAATTGTCAAATATAAATAAAACTTATCAGTTATGGAATCGATATTAAATTGGAGGAGTATAAGAGAATTTGAAGTTCTAGTGATTTTCGGCAATTGAGTTTCATAAACGCTTCTTACTTAGTTAAAAATCTTGTAGTATACTTTGTTAGTTTTAAAACTTCCTTTTTCATCATCAATATCTATAAATTGTTCTATTTCAACCAAAGTTGGTATTAATAGAAATTTAATTGAATACGAAGCCCTCGAACGATATTTTAGTTACTCTTTAAACTTGGATACAATATAGCACAACGGTGATCAGATATGAAATTAATCCAAAAGATGTAACATAAGAAAAATTCATAATTTTAGAATAACAAATTCTTTGAAATGATAAATTGATAATTGGTACAAATCGATTTTATCTAGTTACAACAAACAAAAAAAGAAAAATAATTTCAGTAATGCAAGAGCAGTTTCACTTAGGGTCCCTCACAAATACTTTTATCTTCTTATCACAACTACGCCTACCCCTATCCAGACTAATACGCCATTTGTACACCTTTTTTTGTACACCATTATTGACATTATCCAACTTGTCAACAAATAATTGGACCAAAAAATTGTAATGTTTTAAACTGTCCAATAATATGTTGTCACGTAACAAAATGTGAAATCTGGTGTACACCAAGAATGATTGGACTAATAAACAGTTTGTCTTGGGACAGCATGACTTCTGCTCCTGGGATACATTAACTCGACCTTATTAACATTATTTTCACCAAAATAAATACTAGGCCTGTCTTCATCAATTCTACCCATAACAACAGTTCTACTTCTCGGCATAGCCCTCGATCCCATGCTCCCAGAAGATGGTGGCTTCATTTGCATCTGTTTTTGCATATACGAATCGAGACCAACCCTACCGCCACTACTCCTTGTAGAAGAAGCTCTGATGAGCTCACTAATATCACCATTCTCGTAAGATCTCGTTGTGTGGACACTGAAACTCCTCGGCAGGGTCGGCGCCTGCCCGGTTCCGGGACCCGCCATAACGTTGCCGTAACTTACCCTGTCTGCATAATCTGTCATGCTCTTCACATAAAAATCCCGTGCTTTCCCCAAAGCACGTATGGGAATAGTAATGATGCGAAAAAACCTGTTTTGGTTGCCTGCTTTGGCTTTCATATTGATAAATGATATATTTCTGCCCAATACCTGAAGAAGAATGGAAAGACCACTTAAATATGGATATATTGGAATCAGGAAGAAGAGTTTAGAAGAACGTGAAGGTGTTTTTTTCAAAGGCGTGGCTTGAAAAATGATTGTTTTTTTGGAGATAAACTTTGTTTGAGAATTAGGGTTTTTGTAGTTGAAGTGTGAACAGAAGAGAAGAGGGCAGGATGCGCGTGGAACTTTTCATAGCACATTAAATAGAGAAGGAATGGATTTTAGGTCAACTTTTCTACACTGTCAGCCAAAATTGAAAACCAGATAAAATTTGATTGGAGGCCACCTAATTATAAGATTGTTCGATCTTGGTCACTCAACTAATATTTATATTTCAATTTAACCATTTTGTTTGAAACTGTGGACATAGTTAATGGTTAGTATCATGTAACTGACATGTGGCATTGATTTGATACTATAAAATTGTTACAAGGCAAATTTATTGTCAATTGCAAGTCTCATTTTTCTCATAGGATGTTGATTTGGTACTTAGTTTGATACTATGCTCCCGTTTGGTATAAATTAAAATTAGATTTTTAATAGATTTTTATAAAAATTAATAAAATGTATGATTGCAAAATTGTGAGTCTCTTGAAATGTGTTATTAAATTAAATATTGATTTTGATTTAAATTTTAGGGGTTGTTAGAGCCACATTTTTTTTTGAAAATTCAATTTTTAAAAACTCATTTAAAATCACACATTTTTCAATAAAATGATATTATAAGTAAATCAAATTTTTTTTTAATTTTTAATCATACACTATCCAAAAATCACTATTCAAATATGCATTTTTTTCTCTCAAAATGGAGCTCAAACAAGGGCTAAATTCATATTTTAATCTACACGAAAAATGGGCTATATTAGCAATTACTTTACCAAACAAATTGAAAGATAATTTCACTAAGTCAAATGTATAGTTAACGGTGAGTTTCATATAACTGACAGAGTGTTGATTTGGTGATTGTGGCAATTAGTTTGCCAAACAAATTGAAAGAGAAATGCACCAAGGCAAATTTAGAGTTCTTATTCTTGATTCGAGTTATTTTTATAGTGCATGACTTCACTGACAGTTGATTTTGATCAGGATTATAGTCTTAATGGTCAAATTGCAAAAAATAATAATAATAAATAAATAAAAATGCTAATCAAATGGTCAAAATAGAATAAATTGAAGTTAGATGATCAATATTGAATAAATGTGTAAAGTTGGGTATCCTCTAACGAAATTTTCCCTAACAACTGCACAGTTTTTCACATTTGACTTTTCTTTATGCTCTCCGACAACATTTATGTTTTGGCTACAATTCACATTGTTTCACATGGACAACTAGTTTATGCATCTTTTTCAAACCTACTTCCCATCCATCTTTTTCATTTTGACCATTATAATTCAAATCTTGAGATCCATCATAAGTTTAATTAATTAATTAATTGATATGTTATCTTACCAATACTTAGTTGAAGATCAGCACCGATACTTATTAGGTCATTTCTCAATACATAAATGCACTATTTTGAGTTCTTTTCTTTAATAAATATAAATCGAACACGACGCAATCAACGTTTAGATACAACCAGACTCACACACCACGCCCCTTGTTTCATATCTACATGGAATAAAGGAGAATTAAGTTGGTCATTAATAATTTACTTAGTTGAATCGTAAAGTATGTAATACTTATAAGAGAAAGAAAAATACTTGTTCTCTGATCAAAAGATAAAAAAAAATCCAAAAATTACTTGTTCTTCGATTATAAGATGAAAAAACAATCCATTTCTAAGTCAATACCTAATTCTCCTTGGCTAACATCGTTCAATCTCAAAATTAGATTAGAGTAAAAAGATCAAATTGCTAAATATATTGTCCAACAAGAACAAGCAAGACTAAACACAAAAACTGAACACCTTTTAAAAATTATCACTTTAAAACGCAAAGGATGCATAAGATTTGCCCATGCATTGGTACGGATAAGATATTTTGGATGCTTATATCTAAAATTATAGCAAGTCTTCAAGATTAAATAGAAAAATAATATTGTCTCTCAAACACCGATTGCTCAAAAAATTTAAAATAACTATTGAATTATGTTACTTGGTACATAAGGGATTACATAAAATAATGTGGAGGGAAATTAGTGGATTAAAAAGTTTACTGTATTTTAAACTGGTAAATGGTAGAATGTCCCGTTGCATTATGTAATCATTTATGTACATTAATGTATATGTAGCAAGATCAATAACTATTATGGTAAAACTGAAATAAAATGCAATTAATGGTCAAAATGAAATAAATTGAAGTGAGGTGACCAATATGAAATAAACATGTAAGTTGAGTATCATCTAACAAAATTTTCCCTAAAAGTCAGTTGACTACACGGTGTTTCAGTGTTGGACTTTTTATATATGATATCCCACAGCATTTACGTCGTGGTCAATATCCAAAATGGGTCCCAAAGATGGTATAATCCCGTGTGAACACCTTCGGGAGAAGGGCTCACTTTTTCCAAACCCGAGGCCGAATGGCTTAGCCCTTGCACGAGCAACAAACATGCCTATGCTCGAGCCTCGAGCATGGTATAATTCTGGCATAATGGAGCAGCTTTCCTTCTATGATGAAACTCTTTCGAAAATCAATTTTGACCTAATTTTCGATCAGCATAAATACAAAACAAGGGGTTAACATTTTGCCCGTGTACGTTTTATTGACGCCTGTAGTCAACCTATTTATGGCTCTCGATTTGCGAGCAAGCCGTCTATTTCTTTGTTCTCCTCGCGTGCTAGTTTATGCATCGCTGATGGCTGCATAAATCTGCAGAGTTCTTTGCGAGATCTAAAAGTCTGAAAACTTGACTTCCTCTACTTCAAAATCAATTTGTATCTTCTTGCAACATATCCGTGGGTTTTAATCGATTTTTCAAATCTTAAATCGTGAAACTAGGCTTTTACTTGGTTTTGTACATTGTTTTCCGCATCGATTTTATTCATATTCTTGAGTATATTATGATTACTGATTAGAAGCTGTTAGTGAAACATTGAATATGTACCATTCCAAAAAATTCTCATATAAAATCTTATTTGTTTATCTAAATTAGAAATAAAAATTTAAAGTGCGTAAAAAATGGAAATGAAAATTCGTTGTCAAGTGGATAGGAAGTAGGTTCGCAGATAATGCATTAACTAGTTGTCCATGTGAAACGACAAACTTATTAATAATAAATTTGAATTCAATATCAATGTAAATTGTAGCCAAAACATAAATGCTGTCTGAAAGCAGAAAAAGTCAAATTTGAAAAACTGTGCAGTCTTTAGGGAAAATTTCGTTCTAACTTGCACATTTATTTCATATTTGATCATCCATCTTCAATTTATTTCATTTGACCATTTGATTTGCATTTTCATTACAATTTGACCATTGCAGTGTAAAAATAAATCAAATCAAGAATAAGAACCGCAAACTTACCTTTTACTGCAATTCTATATTCAATTTATTACGCAATCTAATTGCTGATATGCTAAACGAGCACTCCGTCAGTTACAAGAGACTAACCATTAACTATGTTCACGGTTTCAAACAAAATGGTGTAGTTGCAATTTAAATATTAGTTAATTGACTAAGATTGAAAAACCATATAATTAGGTTGGCGGCGTAGCAGAGTTGACTCTAAAATCCAGTCCTTCTTTATCCGATTTGTTATGAAAAATTCCACGCGGATTCTGCCTTCATCTCTTCTGTTCGCACTTCCATTACAAAAACCCCTGATCTTTATCGCCAAAAAACAATCATTTTTCAAGCCACGCCTTTGAAAAAAAACACCTTCAAATTCTTCTAAACTCTTCTTCCAGATTCCAATATATCCATATTGAACAGAAAAATATCATTTATCAATATGAAAGCCAAAGCAGGCAACCAAAACAGGTTTCTTCGCATCATTAGTATTCCAATACGTGCATTGGGAAAAGCACGGGATTTTTATGTGAAGAGCATGACAGATTATGCTGACAGGGTAAGTTATGGCAACGTTATGGCGGGTCCGGGAACCGGGCAGGCGCCGACCCTGCCGAAGAGTTTCAGTGTCCACACAACGAGATCTTACGAGAATGGTGATATTAATGAGCTCATCAGAGCTTCTTCTGCAAGGAGCAGTGGGAGTACGGTTGATCTCGATTTGTATCTGCAAAAACAGATGCAAATGAAACCACCATCTTCCGGGAGCATGGTATCGAGGGCTATGCCGAGAAGTAGAACTGTTGTTATGGGTAGAATTGATGAAGACAGGCCATGTAATTATTCTGGTGAAAATAATGTTAATAAGAAGGTTGAGTTAATGTATCCCAGGAGCAGAAGTCATGAACAAGGAGTAGTGGCGGTAGGGTTGATCTCGATTCGTATATGCAAAAACAGATGCAAATGAAACCATCATCTTCCGGGAGCATGGTATCGAGGGCAATGCCGAGAAGTAGAACTGTTGTTATGGGTAGAATTGATGAAGACAGGCCATGTAATTATTCTGGTGAAAATAATGTTAATAAGAAGGTTGAGTTGATGTATCCCAGGAGCAGAAGTCATGCTGTCCCAAGACAAACTGTTTATTAGGGTAGGGGTGGGGGTCCTTGTGATAAGGGAAAAAAAAAAAATTGTGAAGGGCTTTTTAAGGAGAAAGTGAAACTGCTCTTGCATGATTGACATCATTTTTTGTTTTTTGTTACTTGAAAACATTGATTTGTATCATCAATTTATCAAGCCAATGATTTTTTATTTTTTTTTCTAAAATTAGGAAATTTTCTTATGTTACATCTTTTTTTGGATTAATTGCATCTTTGGTCAATATTATGCTAAAATCCTACAAGTGGTATTGTAGCCAAGTAATAAGAATAAGTAAAGTATCGTTTCAACGAGAATTGTGTGTTCAGTTGGATTCCTATTAATACTAACTTTATTCAAAATAGCACAATTTATAGAGGTTGATAATGGCAAATTAAATTCAAAAACTAAATATACTATAAAACGTTAAACCAAATAAGAAGAGTATAAAATTCAATTAATGAATACAACTAGAACTTCATAATTTGACAACACTTATTTGGAATTGATGATTGATAAGTATGATTTTACTCTTACTCGAGCTATCAAAAGTGTATGTTTGGGAACACTTTTGTAAATTTGATACTTAGCCCCCGTTTGGTGGCCATTTTTTTCTTTGAAAAAAAAACTGTTTTGAATAGTGAATTTTTGGAAAATGTGTGGTTAAAAGTGAAAAAAGATTATGGGTTTATGTGCATAATATTTTATTGTGTGAGTATGTAATTGAAAATGTGTACGTATAAAAAAGAGTTTTGAAAGAATGGGAGACAAAAAATAAGATGTTGGATGGTAAAGGATGAAAAGAATTTGATAATGAGGATTTAATGAGGACGAATTATGGAAGATGGGGACTAAATTGTCAGGTTTGAAAGATGAAAGACCTTCAATGTAAATGAGGAAGGACTCGAGCTAAACCAAAAAGGAGATTTAGTGATCAATTTGTCGAGGGAGGCAAAGTTTAAACCTTGTGATCGCTAGGTTAAAATGGTGATATCGTCAGAAGGCAAAATAAGTCAATAGTAAGTGCATTGACCTAAAATCTTTATATGCAATGATATTGGTGCATGAGTTATAATCTAGTTGGGAGACTATAAATATAGTCACATCGACCTAGAAAGCTCTTGGAGAGAAGAAAATGGGTTGCAAAATGAGAATCAAGAGAATGGAATTGACTGTAAAAACAGAAAGAAGAGAGGATAGAGAAGCTGCAAATTTTCCATCTCAGAAGATATCGATCAAACCTTACTATTATTTTTCCCAATTTGATTTTCTTCGTTCCCCCAAGCTCAGATCATGTTGATTTTATTTGTGTTGAGTTTAATTTTCAGCATGAACTAAGTTTTTTATTTTTATTTTTTATTGTAGTTGTTGAATATGTGACCCAAATTTTGACGTTTATTATTGTTTCGGTTGAAAAATGAGTTAAAAAGGGATCAAAGTTGGCAAATTGAAAGTTCGGAGCAACAACTGGGCGCTCGAGTGACCAAATGGGACGCCTAGGCACCAAGAAATGGATTTTTGGGATTGAAACTGAGTGCCCAGCGCCATTGGCAGAGTGGGGCTACCGCTTAAGCATCGCGCACTGCTCGCCTGGTGTGAGGCTACCGCTTTTATTTGAAAAAGTTTTGTTTCCACTTTCCTGATTTGTTTTTTTTATCATTTTTCCAACTAAAACATATTCTTATGGGTCTTATATGTACTCCACGAATTTTATAGCTTTCATATGATTTTGTGTGAGTTTTAGAGAGATAGACGATATTTTAAACACAACTTTCTTTGTATCTTTCTACATATTAATAAATTATCCATTTCTCTACCAATTGTTCTTGTGTTCTTCTAGTATTGTAATTACTACTTCATATTGTACGATATAATCTCGTCCATAATTCCTAACAAGTGGTATCAAAGTTTAAGGCTTGATTTGTTTAAGATCTTGTTCTTGTGATGACAACCATGAAGTATGATATTTTTCTTTTGGGTCGCACCACTAGATTTTCGTTATGGTAAGTGAAGATACAAGCAATACTCGCTCAAATGGATTTGGATGAAGTTTTGTTGGGATATCACAAGATGCCCTCAAATTGGTTGATGGAGGAGAAACAACGTAAGGATCGAAATGCCCTATCATAGATTCATCTTCATCTCTTTAATCATATTTATCATGAGGTTTTGAATGAGAAAATTGTAGCTGCATTATGGTTGAAGTTGGAACAACTATGCATAACGAAAAGTCTAACAAGCAAATTGCATTTGAAGTAACGTTTGTATTCTTATCGTATGACAGAAGGTATATCCTTAGAAAAACACCTTGTTGTCTTTAAAGAAATTGTCATTGATGTGAAAATCTTGGAGGTTAAGTATAATGAAGAGGATTTTGATTTGATTTTATTGTATTTGTTGCCTGTTTTATATATGTTGTTTAGAGACACGATATTATATATTCATGATATTCTCACCGTTGAACTTTGTTTTCTAAGATGAAGATGGAGTATCTTGTTTGATCTAAGGCTTAGGGAGAAGATTTTGTTATTCATGGTGCATATGAAAAGGGTAGTACAAAGGCTATTTTGGTTAAAAAAAATTGTAACTATTGCAAGAAAAAGGCGCACATAAAGAAGGATTGCTATAAGTTGTAGAATAGATAAAAATTGACTATAAATTAGAAGGGAAAGCAACCAGAAACTTCAGGTAAAGTTGACATTACTGGAAATTGATACAATGATGGAGAACTTTTGGTATTTCCAACGAAGACTCCAAACCGACGAGAATTGAATTCTTGATAGCTTGCACTTTTCATGTGTCACAATCGGAATTCATTTTCAACATATGAAACATTTATGAAAGGTGTTGTGGTAATGGGTAACAATAAACCTTGTAAGATAATTGGTATTGGAAGGGTTAAAATTAAAATGTTGATGGGATGGTCAAACACTTGATGATACATTCTAGATTTGAAAAAAAATCTTATCTCATTGAGTATTTTTTATTCAAAAGGGTACAAGTACATGGATGAAGGTAGAGCCTTGAAGGTTAATAAAAGTGCCCGTGTTGTATTGCAGGGATAGAGAAGGTCACAGTTATATGTCTTGCAGTGTTCTACAGAATTATTGGAGTCCAATCAACACAAATTAAGTTCATCAGTGAATGCAATTATCTGCTCATTCCATGCTCCTTTCCAGGCAATAGTTGGTATCTTTATCTTGTGGATATACTTGGATGGAAATTTCAAATTTATGATTGTAGCCACAACATTCACACAACAAAGGAAGTGAAAAAACATGCAAATGCAACATTCCTTTTAGTCCAATCACTGTTAATGTCTTCAAACTTCTTATCTTGCAGGCGAGATTTATGAAAATATAGAAACAAGGAAATGAAGATCAAAATTATACATTATCTATCTTCTGCAAACAATGGGTTATCATTTTGTTTACTATTTACTATATTATTTAATTTCTTGCATAATTTCACTTTATGCCAATAATACTGATTTAATCTAACATTATGTTATTTCAAGCCAAATTGTGTAGTTTTTGTGCTAAAATACATCGAATGCTTCATTTTTGGACATCTAATACAATCAATTTCATCAGACATGATAGATATATACAGACGCAAGATTGCAGTGGATATGGCTTACAATGAATATCTTCTACATCCCCGTTTGCCTTGATTCTATTAGACAATCAGAGTAATTAACAATGGCACTTCGTAGGCCATAAGATAATCACGGTTAATAGCTTTGTTTCCTAAACATTATGTATTATCAATCTACTGTCCATTGGTCTCTAAATATTTTGTTATTAAAGCCTCATTTGATGTAGAATCTAGTTTTCTTACTATACATATCTACGCTATTATATAGTCAACTACATTATAACTTGTGCATCGCACATGCGTCTCACTAGTAATTTAAGAATAGAATGACTTGGACATATTCCAAATTGGGAAAAGTCAACATGTTTGAGAAGTGCTTATAAATGGCTTAAATCGTTAATCATAATTGAAAAGTGGGTAATTCTTGTAGATCTTTCAAAATGTGTGGTTAAAAGGTCACTGAGTGCTTATAAATAGTTCATAAACATGAGACAAACATAAGCATAATTAATAATGAACATGTTGTGTTGTTGCATTTATGATTATGATCCTTCGAGTATAGGGTGTTTTAACCTCTATAAATACATGTTTTTGGCAGATATAACATATCATTCAGACCAATAACATCTATAATCTTATATACCACCATAATCCTTCATCAAAAGCTAAAAGATATTCATTTCGCATAAAAAAATTTGTTTTTGTTTTTATTTTTTTTGGTTCCTTCTTCCGGATTTCATTTGTGCTTATTGCAATTCGGATAAAAGCTTGAAAAATCAGTTAGAGCTACTTCTTGGAGTCCGTAAAACATCTAATTCTTGCAATAGACTGTGATGCCAACCGGTCCCATGAGCTATGATGATATGGGCTTCTGGCCCTAAACTCTAATCTACAATTGCCTCATAGATTGGCCGGCCCACACACGAATCATTTTGGCCAAAAATGTGGTTTGAAGAAATGTGTTTTTAATGCAACTCAAAAATGTGATGCATCAAGGACTACCTCATTACATCGTTCTCTTCGATAACACGTTGCAAGTTGGTAGCCATGATAGCTACTATTTGAGTTAACCTGGACATTCTTCCTTATGACCTCCGATTTCTTCTCCTCGAACTATTTTTCTATGTTGAGATAGCAGGATTGTCGTCCTACATTTCTTCCATTTTTCATCATTGTTCGATCCCCTTTCTTGGCTTCTTGTTCTTCACATGTTTTCTTCTCACAGTTGCAGTAGGAATTCCCATAGATGACATCAAACCGTTAACCTCAAAAAATAAAATTATTCTTTAAAGCCAATGGTATTTTTTTTCCTCCAAATTTCGGCAAGGTTTTTATTTTTGGGGGATTATGGGATGTGTTTTGGACGCCAAGTATTGTTGTCAAGAGAAAAAAGAGTTTAATTCTGTCATGATTTTGGCCAAAAAGTGTTTTCTCGTTCGGAGATAATTGTTTTCTTAGAAGTTTAACCTATGATGTATTATAATTCGATGCGATTTTTTTAGAGTGGAAGTTTGGATATCATATTTTTAACCCATTTTTCCTTTGTGCAATGGCCTTATAGGCTTTTTAGAGGCGTCTTAATCATTTTTTTAGTAATATTCTTTCATTATTATGTTGGAAGTCATATTTAAATCTCATTTCCAAAGTTTATTAAGGTTTGTAATTTTTTATATTTATCCAATAATCCATTGTGTGCATACATGGATTTAGTGAACATAAGTAGGTTAATGTTGTCATGCTTCACACTAAGGTCCCATCTATGTCCGAGGCTATATCGAAGCCTTTTGTCTTATTGTTGGGCGAGGCTTAGAAACAAGTGTTATGCTTATGCTCCGTTGCTTGGGAAGCCTCTCCGTGGCCAAAGCATCTATTTGCTAAACTATGCTTCGACAACTCTCGGGCAAATGTTTAAGAACACATGGACATGTAAATGAAGTCCTTTTGTAAACGTAGAATTTAAGGTGGATCATAATTATATTTACCACGTTACCTTCACTTCACATTTTTATAATAAATGCACAATATTTTAATTGCATTAAAGTCCTCAATTTTTATTTATTATCATATTTATGTCTATAACTTTTTTTCATCACATTCTGATCTTCGTCCTTATCCTTTCCATCAATTAGTACATTTTGTCTTTAATGACGTTTTTGTCCAAAATTTTGTTTGCGTACATTAACCTAGTTGACCATGTCAATGAGTATGGATGACGTTTTCGTCCAAAAAGCTTGTACAAGCTTGTAGGCTCGGCCCAAACTTGACCATGTCAATGAATATGGATGATATTGTGTGATGTGTGAAAAATTATTTTCTATGTTGTTAAAGTCATCGACTCAAAGTATTGTCATATCAAACAATGTCTAATTTAATGTAACTGTAGTAAAACACCTTATTTTAGGCTATGTTAGACTTCATTCTTTTATAATAGATTTTGTGAAAATGTTATTCTTTTGAAGAATAAGTGGTTAAAAATTAACAAAATAAAATAAAATAAATTTGAATTTACATGTAAATTATTTTATTGAAAAAATATGTGATTAAAAATAAATAAATGGATCTCATAAAAATTGGGACTCAAAAGTGGACCTAACTTCACTAGCACATCTACTCGTACTCATATGAGAAGATCTCAAAATAAGAAGGGCATCTCCGTCAATTCAATAATTTTCGATTTGCAATTATATCCCGCCCGTTAGCCGATCCCATTTTTTGAAATCAGACCAAACAAACACAGCGTGCATCTGTGCGAGTGCGAGCGCGATTGTGTACAAATGGAGAAGATTTGCGTAGCAGTGAGATTGAGACCAGCAGTGAATGAAGAAACCCCAAATGGAAATGGGTACCACTGGGAAGTGGAAAACAATCGCATTTCTCTTCACAAATCTCGGGGCACCCCCATTTCTGGCGTTTCCTTTGCTTTTGGTACGTTGGATGGCTTATTTTGTATGCGAACAGAATCACTTTCATTAGTTTGATTTAGTTCAGAAACTTTTAGATTGGTGTTCATTTTTTTTTCAAAACTGTTGTTTTCAGATCATGTTTTCGACCAGGATTGCCGTAACAGTAGGGTATATGAGCTTTTAATCAAGGACATTATACATGCAGCTGTTGAAGGATTCAATGGTTTGGTTTTATTTCTCTCTTTTCCTTTTATTTGGCCAAAATTAAGATTTGAACTCTATATTTTTCCTATTTGACCTTATTTGTGTTTTAAGTCAAGAACGTTTGAATAGGTTCTCAATTTTCGTAAATGGACATATCAATTATCAAGGATTGAATTTATAACATTTGCTTATTGTTACACGCAGTTGATTTATATTTTGCTTTTTCACTTCTTATATTTTAGAAAAATCAACCCTTTTATACTTTACTTCTTTTTCCTTTCCCCCTTGTTATTGGGGATGGGTACTTCTACAAATTAAACCTAGATGATGCTAAATGTTTTTGATGGCTTATTGTTATGTTGGTGCGAGTGGGTGGTGGGCTTTCAAAGCTAGAAATGCATTTGCAATTTACAAAGCCTTTGTCAAACTAACTGTTAAAGATATTTGTTGCCAATGACCAAGGATAGCATACAATTTGTTCCAGGCAAAGTAGTTTTGTGCCTCAGCCTCCTTAGTTATTGTGCTAATAAGAGATTAGTACATCTTCTGCTAACATATAAATGGGATCTCATCTAAGGTTCTAATTAAAGAATTATGAGGATATAAGGAAATATATTTTATTAGCTCTCTACCATATTTGCAATTTCAGCAGAAGGTCCTCCATCCACTCAGATACAGTGAGCTTGGCAAGAGATTTGAATGACTACTAAATATTTTTATTTGATAGCAATAGAAGTGAGATGATGATCATACCTTATTCATACATTCTGTTGTTTCTGTTCACTCAAAGCATTGCTGATTTAAAATTAAATATTAAGATGTTAATGCAGTAGTTACTAAAACGTTTAACGTTCAAAGTTTATGTTATGTAGAGATTATTCTTCTTACTCAAAGTTTATGTTATGTAGAGATTATTTGTCTTACTCAATAACAAGTTTTGTGATAGTCAAAGTCGATCCGCTGTTTGCTTCTTCATTTTTGCCCTAGGTGTATTTTCTTTTAATGGACTAAGTAGAGATCTAAACTTCAAATTTTGTTTACTTTGTAATAATTTTATATGCAGGAACTGCATTTGCATATGGACAGACAAGTAGCGGCAAGACTTTTACCATGAATGGTTCAGAAACTGATCCAGGAATTATCCACCGGGCTGTAAAAGATATATTTACAGAAATTGAGATGGTATTATCACCATTTGCTTGATTTGACTGAAGTTGTATTTTCACAGTTGAAAGTATACATGGATTTAGATAGACTTTCTTTGCTTGTCTTCTCAGACAACCGATAGGGAGTTTTTGGTTAGAGTTTCCTATATGGAAATTTATAATGAAGACATCAATGATCTTTTTGCTGTGGAAAATCAGAAACTGCAAATTCACGAGAGTTTGGAGGTATGCTATTGACAGATCATTTGAAATGCCCTCACAAGTTTTTTCGACTACAAAGATGTTGATAGCTGTTCCTCTCCAGCGTGGAGTATTTGTTGCAGGACTGAGGGAGGAGATAGTGAACAGTGCCGACCAAGTACTTGACCTTATTCAACTTGGAGAAGGTTTGACCCTTGAAAATAATGAAACTGAAATAACTGTTATGCTACCTTTTCTACCTTCTTTTTGTTTCTTTTGATTTCATGTATAATTTACTGATACTTGTTTGTATATGCTTCTTTCAGTTAATCGACATTTTGGTGAGACTAACATGAATGCTCGTAGTAGTAGATCTCATACAGTTTTTAGGATGGTATGCACTCGAACATCGCAAGATCTTTGGTTAGGATTTGTTACTTTCTTTTACCTTGAGTAGATCTCATTAATTTTTCCTATTTTTCGTAAACCAGGTCATTGAAAGCAAGGGAAAGGACAACAATTCGAATAATAGTTCAAGTTCACATGATGCAATTCGTGTCTCTGTCTTGGTTTGAATCTTACTCTATGTGCTATTCTAAGATCAATCCCTAGTTCATATACAAATTTTATAGTCCTATTGGCTGTGATTTACCATGGTTTTACCCATAGTCATCATACTCGGCTCGGTTATTGACTCAACCAAACAACCATGTCAATGTGTCACTAGTTTAACTGACGGGTTATTGTCAGGTTCGAAAGTGAAACGAAATAATTTTTCTTTTATAGAAGGCATAGATATAAGTTTAAAAGTTAAAGTAGATTCTAATTTAAAAAATCATTTATTAATTGGAACATGATAAATTCTCACATTTCTTTTTCAAAAATTAAATATAAGATCTATATAACTTTTTCATATATAATATTTATCTAGTTGTATCTATATTATTATTTGGTCTTTCGTCTCTACTTTTCATTAAAAAATTGTTTGCTAAGTTTTTTCCAAAGACAAATAAATATCAAAAATGTTGTAAATTATAATCTAAAATATGGTATAGTTTATATACATTTGTAGACAGAATTTATGCCAAGGAATGGATTAGTGAGGTGGAAAACCATGACGCTTTAGCCAGCCTGAGGTCCATGGTTCTTAATATTTGCAAAAAACCATATGGTTTAAACCAAGATTGAGCAAAACCCAGCTGGTTCAACCAGACCAATACCAGTTCAAGAGCCCATTGGTCCAACTACGCTGACCGGACTGGACTAGGGTCCGTTTCACCAGGTTTTACGATCGGACAACCGGTCTGGTTTGAGTTTAATAACTATGGTGTTATATGCTGTTTGAATACTTATTCTTGGAACTGTTTACCCGAAACTGAAACCAATAAGGTGCTAGTTTTAGTCTGGGAAGCAGCTATAATCCTAAGACCTTCATGCATCCGTATCACTTGCATATCTGCTAATTTTAAGCATCAAAACAGTTCAATATATATCTTTACTCTCCAGTATGCGGAATGTAGAGATGTCTTACTGTAGTTGGTGAACAAAAAAGTGCTAATCAATGCTTGTTGGACATAAGTTGGATACTGTCATAGTTACTGTAGCATTGCAATTATTGTTCAAATTTTCAATTACCTTGACGTCATGCTTTCTTGATTGAAAATATTTTTTGTGTAATGAAACATTTACCTTCCAATCCTCTCTCTCTCTCTGTAGTGATTTATGTTGGCATTAATTATTAATTATCTTTTTTTGTTGGTGCATAAATTTGGAAAGTAGCATATTTCTGTATCTGTATTGCGTTATTTCGGATGTGCCTGCTGTTTTTTCAATTCACTTTTCTTACCATATTATTTCATCTTAATACTAAATTGTTATCTGTTCACTTTGGAACTAGAACTTGGTTGACTTAGCGGGTTCTGAAAGAGTAGCTAAAACTGGAGCGGGGGGAGTTCGTTTAAAGGAAGGAAAGCACATTAACAAGAGCTTGATGGTTCTTGGAAATGTGATTAACAAGCTAATTGAGGGTGCAAAGCAAAGGTACTTGCATATTTACTGTTGTTTATATATCACAGTACAACAGTTTATTGACTAATCAATTTCCATACACAGGGGACACATTCCTTATCGCGATAGTAAGCTTACTCGTATACTTCAACCTGCACTTGGTGGTAATGCGAAAACTTCAATAATTTGTACAGTGGCACCAGAAGAGGTATTCAATTGTTAATTGTATTATATCAATTCCAACAGTAAGGTTTGATGTCATACATTGCAAGTAGGTCCACTTAGAGGAAACAAAGGGAACTCTTCACTTTGCTAGCAGAGCGAAACGGATTACCAACTGCGTTCAAGTGAATGAGGTCCGTTTAAGATATCAAGACATTTAATTCCTTAAGCATCTTAAATTTCTATTTTACTTCGTGAATTGTTGTACAATACATAATAATTTGAAATTTATATTTTGCATACTTGTCATTAATGCATTATGTTCCAGTATTTCATCTGATTTTTTTTCATACAATTGGAAGATCACATTTTAAATGAAGCGCACGCCTCATGCTTCATGAGGCGCGCACCTTCCGGCGTGCGCTTCAGATTGAGAGGCGTGAGCCTCATATTTTTAGTCTCAAAAATACCGCCTTGAGGCATACTACATGCGCCTCACAGTGAGGCGGGCCTCACTACCGCCTTTTTATACCATGCTTGTTGGACATAAGTTGGATACTGTCCTAGTTACTGTAGCATTGCAATTATTGTTCAAATTTTCAATTACCTTGAGGTCATGCTTTCTTGATTGAAAATATTTTTTGTGTAATGAAACATTTACCTTCCAATCCTCTCTCTCTCTCTCCGTAGTGATTTATGTTGGCATTAATTATTGATTATCTTTTTTTGTTGGTGCATAAATTTGGAAAGTAGCATATTTTTGTATCTGTATTGCGTTATTTCGGATGTGCCTGCTATTTTTTCAATTCACTTTTCTTACCATATTATTTCATCTTAATACTAAATTGTTATCTGTTCACTTTGGAACTAGAACTTGGTTGACTTAGCAGGTTCTGAAAGAGTTGCTAAAACTGGAGCTGGGGGAGTTCGTTTAAAGGAAGGAAAGCACATTAACAAGAGCTTGATGGTTCTTGGAAATGTGATTAACAAGCTAATTGAGGGTGCAAAGCAAAGGTACATGCATATTTACTGTTGTTTATATATCACAGTACAACAGTTTATTGACTAATCAATTTCCATACACAGGGGACACATTCCTTATCGCGATAGTAAGCTTACTCGTATACTTCAACCTGCACTTGGTGGTAATGCAAAAACTTCAATAATTTGTACCGTGGCACCAGAAGAGGTATTCAATTGTTAATTGTATTATAATACTTCTCATATCAATTCCAACAGTAAGGTTTGATGTCATACATCGCAAGTAGGTCCACTTAGAGGAAACAAAGGGAACTCTTCACTTTGCTAGCAGAGCAAAACGGATTACCAACTGCGTTCAAGTGAATGAGGTCCGTTTAAGATATGAAGACATTTAATTCCTTATGCATCTTAAATTTCTATTTTACTTCGTGAATTGTTGTACAATACATAATAATTTGAAATTTATATCTTGCATACTTGTCGTTAATGCATTATGTTCCAGTATTTCTGATTCATATGTTGATGCTTATTTTTCCTCAATGCCATTGATTTGTGACTTTAATGGTCAACTAATTGGCTGATTGTAAAATCTTAAAGTTTGGATAAATGTGATTCCTTATATATCACTTCATGCAGTGAAGTCTAGGATTGACTGAAATTTGAATTTAATAGAAGGACGATGTTAAATTCTGAACTACACTGAAACCTTGAAAATACGGTCCACTAGGTTGATTGTGATGGCACATAAGAAGTCCTCAACTTCAACATTCTTGTTTTTATAATTGATTAAAATGAATGATTATAAATATTAATGTTACTTTTTCAAGACAGAAAAGGTTCTCTGTTTGAGCATGAGCATAAATGAGGGAACTGACTATCTTTTTGAGTTGTCTGGCTCAACAGGGCATCCAATAAGTATATTTATAATCTTCAATTAAAACTTCACAAAATTGTTTGTCACTTAATGTTTGGATCAATTGATGGACCTTTTACTAAATTAGGATTCATTTGGACTCTTGCTTTGTGTTTTGTGCCTGAGATGTAATAACTTGTGAAGCATTCTTTTGCTAAAACTACTTGTTCATGTATGTTCTTTAGGGCTAATTTTAGATTCTTCATATGAAACGACTATAGAGCTCATTATTGTTTGTTGTCTTTCAGATACTAACTGATGCAGCTCTATTAAAGCGACAAAAACTTGAAATAGAGGAGCTACGCTTGAAACTTCAGGTGATCATACTGTTTGTTTGATTGGGCATTTAGAACTGAGAACATCCTAAACATGCTAATACTTCTTTCTCAGGGATCACATGCGGAAGTATTAGAGCAAGAAATCTTGAAACTGAGGAATGATATGCTGAAGGTAAATCTTTCGCCATACTCTGTCAAGTTACCAGCATTTTGATGTCATCCATCACTGTAGTTGCTCTTATTCCATCCATCAGTATGAGTTAGAGCGGGAGAAGCTTGCTATGGAATTAGAAGAGGAAAGGAGATCACATAAAGAGCGTGATCAATGCATCAGGGAGCAACAAATAAAAATCAATAATCTTAGCAACCAGGTAGATATTGTTGCCATCATTTTTACACTTCTCTATCTATCTCCTTTTCCTTTGCCAATGGAGTACTACTGTCACTTCTTTAAAATATCGCTTGGTAGGATAGTCTTAGATTTTTCTAATTCTGATCTATTTTCCGTCATTTCTATGAAACCGTCAACATCACTCGTCTAAGCTAAGGGTTACCCTGCATTCACTAAAACCAATTATCATGTTTTTGCAAACCATAAATTTTTTGATTTCAAGAGGGTCAATAGCTAGAAGGATCAAAACTAAGAGCTTGTTTGGGAGAGGTTTCTTGAAAATATTTTTCCCCAAAATCGTTTTCAACTATACATTTTATGGGACACATAACTTTTCCCTACGTTTCAACTACACATTCTCCAAAAAAATAAAATAAAATCATCTCACTTGGAAAAATCTCTCCCAAACAAACTCTTAAGTTATCACCAAGTCAGGCCCGTGAGGTTGTGATGGTCTTGGGACAGATGTAATTGGATAAAGATGCTGTCTTCATATTAGAGTCCAAAATCGGACAGTAGGATACAAAAGCATTATCAAGTTAGTCTTTTTGATGCTGCATTATCGTGAATGTGGTGGAAGCCAGTACGGCTCACATGTTCTAGTTGCCATGCAACATTCCCTTTCTTGTTTGCCTGTTAAAAGCAAATGAGAGGGTAAAACTTTGGGTATTTTTGGCTTCTTCCATTACGGTCCTATAATTTAGTACTTTCATTTCATTTTAATACCTTGGTTGTCACATAGGGCTTTCTTCTAGGTTTAATCTAAGGCCTAAGCATATCATTCAACTGATTCTCTGACCAACTTCTTTGATTCATCACTAATATTACAACTGTTTTTGGAGCTCAGAATGTTGGCAAAGGAAGCCTTGGAGAGGAAAGCAATGACAGTCACAGCACCTGCCAAGAAGATGCCTTTAGTACACCATGTTTTAAAGCAGTTCCCAATGCTTTTGTATTTAAGCGATCACAATACTCTAGGCAGCCAGATTGTAGTCCACTTCCAGATACATGTAATGACTTTGCTGATGAAGACACGTGGATGAAAATGAATAAAGGTTATGTAGCTGACCTTGATGCACTTAATATGACTCCAGCAAGGAAAGCTCATTCATTTCCGTCTGTTGAGGTAAGCACTGCAAATTTAACTTTGTTTTATTGGTTTCGGTCAAGCATCATTCTGATACATGTACTCTTATTCTTTATTGGGTACACCTTGTGGTTAATAACACCTTTCTGAGGTTTTAGGTTATGAGTAATAAAAGCAATGTTCACGCATCAATTCTGTAGCTGAAGATTCTATAATATAAGACAGTTTTCCTTTTGTTTGACCATAGTTGAAAAGTTGAATATCGGCTAGTCGGCTACTCTCTACGTAAAGCATATGCTGTAATAGCTCTATTTAAAGAAGTATAATTATTACCAGAATTTGATAATTAGTTGGATTGGTAACTACTCGTATGAATGATTGAATTTGTTGATAAGCTTTCTGTAGTTAGCATTGCATTAAAACAACTACAAAGATATTGTCATGTCCAAGAATGTGACATATTATGTGTGCTGATATAATGTTGGTCTTGTACTTGTTTTCTCTCTCTTCCCCCCTTCGTTATCCTCCTATTTCTCTATTTTGTCCCCCTTCCCCCCTCACTTGTATTTCCCTTTCTCTTATTACACAGTTGAGATTGATTGTTACATGGTACTGCGTCATTATTGCTTTTAAATCTTTGGATCTGAAGAAAAATATCACTTCACTCATTTCTGTAGTTTTATGAGTTCTGTGTTTTTAAGCAACTTTGTCAATCCTGTGATTTTCTGTGTTTAACTTGCACAAAAATACAGCATGCTATTAGTTGATCTCATCAGTTACCGCTTTCATCTAAGGTGATTATTATTATTTTTAATATGTGATATGAGCTTCATACTCGTTACTATTCTCTACCAGGACATCTCGGCGGAGAATTACAATCAAGAGATGCTAAATCTACATAGACAATTACAACTTGTTACCGAGGAAAGAGATGAACTCAAGGCCAGTCTACTTTTACCATAGTCTGTGTTATTCATAGCCAAGAGGCTTAATCCAATGCAGCCCATTGAAAGTTCAGCTTTGTATTTGCATTCCATCTGATGCGTTTAACATATAATTTTCAGATGAAACATACGGCACAAGTGTCGTTAAACAACCAGTTAACTAAAGAAATATCTGAACTCCAGCAAGAGGCATTGCTAATTCCAGAAGTTCCTCGAGCCCTGCTCGAGTCCGTGGCAAACTGCAAAGACGCTTACAAGGATATTCTTTCAGTTTTACAGGTGACTACCAAATATATCTATTTTTGAAAATTTCGCTGTTGGGAAAAGTTTACGGGAACAGTAAGTACTCTCCTTGTGATCTTTTTCCTGAGCAGGATTTTGTAGCTGATGAAAGATCTGCAACTGCTGAAATACTCTCTACAACAAGTGAGATAGGTTTAAGTTTGTTTTCAACTCTGGAAGCTCATTTTTCTATGGCTATGGATGGCCAGAGGTCCCATATAAACAATTATTCAATACAAGAACAATGCACTGTGCTTCGGAAGAGGTTGAATAGCTTGATTTCATCCTTGGTATTATCAGATGCACCAAAAATCAAGGATGAACATTTGGAGGATTTTCCGTATAGCAGCAAACATAAGGTAGCTGCCTGGTTGCAAGTATCAAGGTCTTGCTCGTCAATTTTGTTATTTTTCTCCATCCTAACAATTGGATACTATTTGTCTTTCACTTTTTAATGTGATAAGGGCACTTTGGGAGCAGAAATTGCTTCTTGGAAAAGGGATCTGGACGATGAAATCAGAACAATCAAACAGAAATACCAAAATTTGGAGTCAGAGTTGGTTGTCAATAACAAGATTCTTGAGGTTTCTGAGGATAAATATCATAGCTTGGAAAGGGAGCTCAATCTTATGAAAGCAGAGAGAGATGACCTTCTCGAAAGAGTCTCCAATTCATCGCAAATGCTTGCACAGTTTAGGGATCAGAAGGAAAATTTTCAACAGGATTTGAATGCTGAAGTACAGAGGAGAAAAAAACTCGAAGAAGAGATCAAACAATTCAGTGTTGCTTTTGCATCTCGGCAGAGGTCAATAATGTCTTTCCAAAGCGACTTCAAATCTGTACTTGAGAACTTGAAGGCCCAGAATCCAGTTTCAGCATCCAAATATCTTGGATCTTGAAGATGAGAATTGTTGTTGCCAGTAGTGAATGCTTCTTCACCGGCCTTGCAGCAGACTAGTCGTTCAATCCTTGTATTATTCAGATCAATTATAATTTATCTGTCCTAACATATTGACTCGACTTCTCTAGGCGTTTATCATATTCCAGTTCTAATATTTCATTTGTAGTTGATGCACGAGGATTGTCCCGAGAATTGGATTTTAAATTCAGTTCCAAACATTATGAATTTATTCAATGAAGTTGAAATTATCTTTCGACCTCTCGGGCTATTGGGGTGTGCTATTTTGTTCCATAGCCTATTCCTTTAGAGGGTGTTGGGATTGTATCATTGTTTATCTTTGTGAAAATAAAAAAGAAAAAAACTATTCCTAGTATAATATTTTATGCGAAATTATGATAAAATTACATAATTAGTTCCAATCTATTGTCTCAATGGCAAGTTGGTCCTTAGTATTTAAAATGAAACAAGTTGATCTCCTATTTTTTATTAAAGTTATGCAATTTGACCTCAATAATGAATAATTGTGTAAACTTTTTATAAATTTATCATATGGTCTACTACAAATTAATAAAATAAAATATTTTATACGTAAATTTAAAATTTTTCTCTACTTTTTAACGATATATTTTCCTAAAAATTATTATTCAAAACATTGCTTACCCTAATAATGATTGTCATGGGCTTATCAGTTAAAAATAATTTTAAAGTTGGATGTTTGAAAGTGATTGACTTAAAGATTTGGAAAATTTCCATGATTGGAGATTGATTTGCAATTGAAAGATTGAGGACCAAATTGCTCCTTTGTCAAAGTTTGGGACAATAGGTTAGAGGCGAGTAAAAAGTTTCATTAGTCACTGAACTTTGAATGTTGTCACGTTGTGGTCACTGAACTTCAATATGCTGCTGATCGGTCACTAAATTTGTCCAACGTTTCCTCCTTTCGTCATTGACCAGAATCCCGTTTGAACAGCAGCTGACGTGGCTCGACGAAATCCTAATTGGCAACAGACGGCGTGATTTTCTTGCCACTTCAGAGCCTAATATGGACTTTTTACTCTACTCCTCACCTTCCCAACACTTCAATTTTGGTAGCCAATTCGAAATCCCTAAATCGAAAGCTCCACCTAAATCCCCAATTCAAATCCCACCCAAATCCAGTAGAATCACGAACCCTCCATGTCAAAAACTCCAAATTGCCTCCCTGCCGAAGCCGAAAACACTTCATGAAGCACATTATGTTCCTCCAACACCTTCAGTTGAACGAGCCCTAAATCATTTCCAAACCCAAATCGCTCCACCTGGAAACGAAGTAAATTCAGCCAATACAGTTCTCGATGAAGGTAAATGTCAACCCATAATCTCACCTACAATTTAATGTCTTGTGAAGCTAACACACAGTTGAATGAATATAAACATTTCTCAATTTCTGGCTACACAAAGTCAGTTGAATTTTTTGACATTCTTCTTAGCGGTTGTTTGAATAATTACATTCTTTACCTTTCCCATTTTTGCTAAGTGAATACGTCATTTGCTAAGTACATTGTTTACCTTTCCCATGTTGCTTGAGGAGGCTGTTCAGAGCAAAAACTGGTATACTGACATTGTTCCCGAATGTAGAATTTTGCTGTATGTAATGCGAGCTTCCCTGACTCTATCCTGGAATTGTAGGGAATTAAATCCAAGCATGACCAATTGATTTGGTTTATCTGTGATGATCCAAAATGAATGAAGTCCTAATGATGTATATAGTATTTCTTGGTATGAGGGGTGTGTGATTACATGAAGTCTTATAGGAAATTAGCTCTAGTGTCCTGTATTTGCTAAAAGAATCGTGATTGAATAAATTTAACTTCTATACAAGTTTGTAAATCAGTTACCAATTTATTAATGGTTGTTATTACAATTCTTAAAATGTGATCTTTCTTCATTCATTAGTTGGGATGCACTGCGTTCTTTTTAGTTATGTAATCTGTGCTGGACTATGAAGTAAACGTGTGAACATTTATAATTACTATTATTTACACATTTCGTGGGACCAGTACTATTCCTTTTGAAAAGATACTAATAATTTTAGACGAACATAGCACATGTAAAGAAACCTGCCGGTAGAAAAAAAATTCTACTAATATATATTTGCAGATTGGATAGAAATAAGAATGACAACACAAATTGTTATTTGTCTAATCCAATTAATGAAGTCAAATCCTACTTAATTTATATTTAATTTTCATGTTATTTATGTCCAAATGCTATTGTTATGTGGTTTATTCCCATCGCAGAATGGTCGGAAGGAATGTTGGAACATGTCATAGTTGTAGATGTAAAAGCTACTGCTTTGCTGAATGCCCATGGAAACGCCAATGTCCATCATGCAAGCGTGGATTTAAGAAGTGTTTCGTGGTTGAGAAGGAGACTGCAAATAAAGGGCAATTATTTCTTTGCTGCAGTGACAATTGTGATTTTTGGGGTTGGATTGTCAAAGAAAAATTAACCAGTGAATCTGCTAGTGATAGCACTTTCTCAATTAACCATGCGGCGGCCGAAAGAGTTAACGATCTATCGTATATGTTCCAATCTCGCATTCGCGTCAACGATGAATTAGACCTTCGAATTTCAGTGAACGTGATGGTATGCAAGGCAAAAGGTAGCACTGAGTGATTGTCTTCTTATGAAATTTTCTTATTTATTTTATTCACCATAAAGATGATTGTGGTCCATTGATTTGATTTTGAATTATCAAAATTGTTTTGTTACAAGTTCATTTTTAATCATTTCCCCTCTTTTTTAAAATTTTGGTAGCCTTTTTTCTGTTGATCTTTCTCACTGATGAATAAGAACTTTAAGTTTTGTGTAACTATCAGTGTTGGAATACTATGAAGAGAAGAGATGATGTCTTTTGTTTTGTTTTAGAAAAATCAAACACGTGGAGGAATTGTTAGGGTGATTTTTATAATTTTTCCAACAAACATATAATACCATCTGAACATTTAAACAGGTAACAGAATAGTGGAAGGAGAGAAGGAATTTCACGACACATGCATTAATCGCCAACACAAAAATGAGGGCAAAAAAAAGCACATTGACTAATCATTAATTATTCTTTAGTATTCATCGTCCAATGCCAGAGAATTTCCAACTGCTGGTACCAAAAACCAATAACTGAAAGCATATTGGAAACTAATCTTAAAATCCTCATCCTTGAGCATGATTAGCAGATTATCAAAATAAATAATCATCAACTTTCCCGGTATTCAGAAGGGGTCAGATTAACAGGTAAAGTCCCTAATCCTCTACAAGTACCAAGATGTTTTGCGACCTGATCTTTGAATAGATAAAGCTGGGCGTGCTTCCATATTTGCCTTATGAGTAAAGGATAAAAAATTTAACATAGAACTAGCTTAATTTCTCTCCTCACTTAGAACACATGCACCATAACAATACCCATCAAACTCATACCTTGAATAAATTAACTGACAATGCATTAACAATCTACTGAAACAAATGCACACGAGAAAAAAAAAAGCATTGGCTTCAGACCATGATATAATATGAAGGTAGATTAACAGCATTGGCTTCAAACCACATTTCCACAAATCTCAAATAAGCAGAAGCAAGAAAACTTAATCAAATACTGTCAGCTGAGAAGTGGGTGCTCAGACTCTGAAAATTCTAAACGCCAGAGACAACTACATTCCCAAGTGGTAAAATACATTACATTATGTAGTATGAATAATTAATACAGATTTTAATACAAAATCAGGACGCACACATAGTAGAAAGGTTTTCACCAATCTACATAGCATCTTACTTCCACCTTAGCACTTTTAAGATTGATTTTGGCTCAGTATCTTGGGAATTTAAGATGCTTGAGACAAAAAAGGAACTGTGTTTTGCTAGATGGAGACAAAAAAAGGTAACGATAACTGATAAGTAAACATAAGGGTGAACACGTTGTTGGGAATTTACTTAATCATGCACAGCAGAAATAAAACAATTTTCAATTCCCAAACGGAGATCTGCAATGTGTTTAGATAGAAACTGTGATTAGAATTATACCTTTGATGAATCCCACAAACTCTTTTACTTTTTCTTGAACTCCAATGATCACGATCTGCAATCCAAGCTGTCCAATTGTCCAGCCTCCAATGGTGATCCACACAGAGAACAAGAATGATGACTAGGGTTTCTTTTCTTGTCCTAGCAAGAATAATGAAAAATCCTTACTCTTTCAAACCCTAGTAGTCTATTAATATAAGTCCAGATGGGCTCGGCCCATCTATTAAACTTAACCCGGTCCAATATTTAATTAATCAAATTAATTAAATCTGGTCCATGAATTAATTAATCCAATTAATTAATTCGGGCCTATTAATAAACAACTCAATTAATTAATTATCCAACACTTGTCAATTAATTAATTAAAAAAAATTTGGTTCTTATTCGGTTTTTCGATTCTTGGTTGAGAACCGAGAACCGAACCAAACCATTCGGTTCTCGATTCGAATACCCGTTCGAGTATTTCATTTTTAAAAATCCGTTCGATTCGGTTGGGTTCCACTTCGGTTCGGTTCGGTTTGGTTTGGACATTTTACCCAACCCTAATAGTTATGCAATTTGACCTCAATAATGAATAATTATGTAAACTTTTTATAAATTTATCATATGGTCTACTACAAATTAATAAAATAAAATATTTTGCACATAAATTTAAAATTTTTCTCTACTTTTTAACGATATATTTTCCTAAAAATTACTATTCAAAACATTGCTTACCCTAATCATGATTGTCATGGGCTTATCAGTTAAAAATAATTTTAAAGTTGGATGTTTGAAAGTGATTGACTTAAAGATTTGGAAAATTTCCATGATTGGAGATTGATTTGCAATTGAAAGATTGAAGACCAAATTGCTCCTTTGTCAAAGTTTGGGACAATAGGTTAGAGGCGAGTAAAAAGTTTCATTAGTCACTGAACTTTGAACGTTGTCATGTTGTGGTTACTGAACTTCAATATGCTGCTGATTGGTCACTGAACTTGTCCAACGTTTCCTCCTTCGGTTACTGACCAGAATCCCATTTGAACAGCAGCTGACGTGGCTTGACGGAATCCTAATTGGCAACAGACGGCGTGATTTTCTTGCCACTTCAGAGCCTAATATGGACTTTTTACTCCACTCCTCACCTTCCCAACACTTCAATTTTGGCAGCCAATTCGAAATCTCTAAATCGAAACCTCCACCCAAATCCCCAATTCAAATCCCACCCAAATCCAGTAGAATCACGAACCCTTCCTGTCGAAAACTCCAAATTGCCTCCTTGTCGAAGCCGAAAACACTTCACGAAGCACATTATGTTCCTCCAACACCTTCACTTGAACGAGCCCTAAATCATTTCCAAACCCAAATCGCCCCACCTGGAAACGAAGTAAATTTCAGCCAATACAGATCTCGATGAAGGTAAATGTCAACCCGTAATCTCACCTACAATTTAGTGTCTTGTGAAGCTAAAACACAGTTGAATGAATATAAACATTTCTCAATTTCTGGTTGCACAAAGTCAGTTGAATTTTTTGACATTCTTTTTAGCAGTTTGTTTGAATAATTACATTCTTTACATTTCCCATTTTTGCTAAGTGAATACGTCATTTGCTAAGTACATTGTTTACCTTTCCCATGTTGCTTGAAGAGGCTGTTCAAAGCAAAAACTGGTATACTGACGTTGTTCCCGAATGTAGAATTTTGCTGTATGTAATGCGAGCTTCCCTGGCTCTATCCTGGAATTGTAGGGAATTAAATCCAAGCATGACCAATTGATTTGTTTTATCTGTAATGGTCCAAAATGAATGAAGTCCTAATGATGTATATAGTATTTCCTGGTAGGAGGGGTTTGTGATTACATGAAGTCTTATAGGAAATTAGCTCTAGTGTCCTGTATTTGCTAAAAGAATCATGATTGAATAAATTTAACTTCTATACAAGTTCGTAAATCAGTTACCAATTTATTAATGGTTGTTATTACAATTCTTAAAATGTGATCTTTCTTCATTCATTAGTTGGGATGCACTGCGTTCTTTTTAGTTATGTAATCTGTGCTGGACTATGAGGCAAAAGTGTGAACTTTTTAAACTTTGCAGCTCATGCTAGATGTTATAACATTGCTAATTACTTTGTACACATTTTCACTGTTTCAAGTGCAACGATAGGGAAGAACAGGGGCATATGTCACTGTTGTAGGAAGAGTGGGCACTACTTGTTGGACTGCCCAACAAAGAAACGATGTCCAAAATGTGGCCAAGGATTTGAGAAATGTATGGAGGTGGAGAAAAATACTTCAAACATTGGGAGATTGTTGAATACAACATGATTGCTAACACCTGGCTTTGAGTGGAAGGATGAAGAACAGTCTACTGCAAAATTCATGATGTTCTTTACAATGCCCTAATGGCTCATTCCAATGCCATTTACTAGCATAAACAAAAAATGTGATCGACTCCACTCTTGAGGGTGTCTCTTCATCAGCCATCCATATGCATCTTCATTCACTTCACGAATTTTTTGCATCCAATGTTTGAATTCAGCAATAGTTGTTGACTTGGCGGCACGCCAAAGAAAATCTTTTAGTATTTTGCTCTTATGTCCGGCGCTGAAGAAGTTTGTGTACATATGTCGTACACAGAAACGATGTTCTGCCTCTGAGAATAACTCATTGCATACATTTTGAATACCCTTTTGTCTGTCAGTCATCAATGTCCAACCCTTCCCATTGCCAATTTCAATGTCCTCTTGGAGGTACTTCATGAACCATCTCTGGGCGTCTGTGTTCTCCTTCTCGACAACAGCATATGCCACAGGGTATATACAGTCATTCGCATCATGTCCCACCGCTGTTAACATAACTTCCCAAAACAACCCCGCAAATGCACCCATCAACACCTACTATTTTCCTGCATCCAATTTTGAAACCGACTTTGCAGGGACTGAAGCATATATAGATTATCTACCTTTGAAAAATTTCTCATGTAGGGCTATCATCACAGTCGATCCCGAATTTGTCCGAAGTACCTCCGCAACATATCTCCTCAGAAGTCCGAACTATTCTTCCATTGTTCCAAACAACAATTCCTTAGCATATTGCCTCATCTTGTTGGCAACATTTGTACTTATCTCCGTCTTCAAATCATCCTTCACCGTCGCCAAAATGGACTTTGTTTTCCAATCAGGGTCTGCCTTGAACTGCTCAATGTATCTATTTGTCAAGAAGATATAGTTGCAATGTCTATTGTTTTGGCTCCGTGTGCATGTGTGCTCCGACGTGTATGACTTCACTTGCACTGTCTCCGTCGTACTCAACTTCGAGCCCCATATCCTCCAGTTACACCCCTGTTTGCAAACTCCTTGAGCTCTTTTTCTATCATTCTTTTTTAACCTCACGTTGTAACCGTTGAGAGCACCATAGGTTCTTATCGCACTCTGGAACTCTTCCATTGACCGAAAGAGTTGTCCAACCTCAAACTTCGGATTCGTCATATCTGTCTCAGCCAAAAATTNAGCTTATGTAAAATAACACATACTGGAGCTCTAAAATCACACTAACTGGAACTTAAAATGAATCACCTATATTTACTAGTAGTTTTTAGAAAGCAGCATACTCAGTACGTTTTTGTAATGCATATAAATCAAATGAAAGGTGGGCTTTACCTCCTGTGATCTCCCTCCATGTTTGCAAATTGAAACCTCAATCAGATGTGTTGCTATGTGACCGTTCGGGTGAGGTCTTGTGTGGGTGAGTAGACTGATTTTCGGACATCGTTTCTCAGGTCGTGCTGCTGAGGAATGTAATGTGCTTCATGAAGTGTTTTCGGCTTTGGCATGGAGGCAATTTGGAGTTTTCGACAGGGAGGGTTCGCGATTCTGCTGGATTTGGGTGGGATTTGAATTGGGGATTTGGGTGGAGGTTTCGATTTAGGGATTTCGAATTGGGCTGCCAAAATTGAAGTGTTGGGAAGGTGAGGAGTGGAGTAAAAAGTCCATATTAGGCTTTGAAGTGGCAAGAAAATCACGTCGTCTGTTGCCAATTAGGATTCCGTCGAGCCACGTCAGCTGCCGTTCAAACGAGATTCTGGTCAGTAACGGAATGAGGGAACGTTGGACAAGTTCAGTGACTGATCAGCAGTATATTGAAGTTCAGTGACCACAATCGAATTGTTCAGTGTCAACATTTCCTTTAAGCAATAAGCGTCGACGAGTGGCAAATTGGAGGAGATGAGGTTATTTGTTAGGGGGATATCATGGGAGGCAACTGATGAAGTTTTGAAACAACACTTTAGCAAGTATGGAACGATGGTTGGGTCTGAGATTGTAAAGGACCGAAACAGTGGCCATCCCAGAGGCTTTGCTTTTGTCGCATTTTCTCAATCCTCTTTTGTTAATCATGCCCTTAAAGATTCACATCACATTCTTGGAAGAACAGTTTGTTTCTTAATGAACTTACTTTTATAATTTTTGGTTCTTTATTTTTTCCCTAATTTTGGGTGTGCTTTCGTGTCTAATAAGACTCCATGTTTTGGTATTTGAGCTTTCTTGCCATGGATTTTACTTTTTATGCTAAACGAAGTTGTTAGAATTTTGAATTTTTAGGTCTTTATCTTTGTTGGTATAAGTGATTTTTCTATTATTTTGCTTATGGTAGTAATTTCAAGTTTTATTTTTAGGAATGTTGGATGTTGCAGCTTTTTTCCTGTTTTATAATGGTTAAAATTTTGAGTATTGAGGCTTTTGAGCTTGTGAATTTGCTTACTTTAATATTATTTTTGCAATATCTGATTTCGAATTCGTGTATTTTTTTTATTTTTTATTTTTTTCCTTTGTGGGTATTCTTTTTTTTTTTTTT